AACGGTAAAGGAACATTCCTCTGTCAACGCTCTCGTTCTCAGCCCTAGTCTCTCGACTATGCTCGGCTGAATAAAACTCCTTGACGCCCCTGTATCCAGTAGACCTTCGCAACGATAGCCGATTATCTCCAACAGCAGCACCGCTGTTCTTCCGCCACTGCAAACCCTACATAGAGTCCCGTGATGTTGATGTTCCTCCGTACTTCCTTCCGTCCAAAACCACGGTGGTATAATAAATTCATCTCCTCTTCCCTTCTCTACTTCCTCGCTTTCCGTACGAAATGTGCGCTCGATGGTTCCGTTCCCGTTCCCGCTTCCGTTTCCGTTCCCGTTTCCGTTCCCTCGATCTCTGCTCCTGCTCATCGGCATCACATGCCTCTGAATTCGCGTTCCCGATTCGTTCCCGTACGATTCGTTCCCGTACGATTCGTTCCCGTCTCTCGCCCAGCCACTTTGTTTTGCAGATTTGGAGATCTCAATGGCGTTCGATCCCGTAACGACCTGACTCACTCTGCCATTAATTAGTTCTGGCCTAGGACACTTGTCTCCGTCAGTGCCTAGGCCTTCTCGTTTGACCGTGTTACTCCCTCATTCGATTCAGAGTTCGTCCCCGTATTTACCCTCTGGTTTCCACCCATCATTCGACGTGCCGTTGCACAGTCCCTAGCGTAATGATCCTTCCAGCCGCATTTTGAGCAAGTTTCTCCTCTCCGTCTCACTACTCCATTGCGCAGGGGACATTCCCTCCCCATGTGGCCCCTTCCAGTGCACTCAAAACAACGAATTACATCTCGTTCCCGTTATGCAGCCACTCTTTCCGTCGAATAGGGCCTTCGAGTTACATTGTTAGTGCCTTCATTTTTGTTCTTATTCCACTCTTCGTCCGCCTTGGAGCTGCTATCTTCCCTGGCCTGCGGCCTTTCTACACCCTGCATTTCCCGCACTGTACGTTTCCCCTTCGCTCGCCACGTATTCAGCGGGACGACATATTCCCTCAACGCCGCTGCCGCTTCGTTCCAAGTCGGAAATTCCCTCTTCCCACGTTTCGTCAATTTATCTCCTATGTCCTCAGGTAGTCCCGCAAGGTAGAACATAACCAAATCTTGTTCTGGCAACTCTTCTCCCATAATTACTATATCCGAGAATGCATTACTATACTCGTTGTAATCTCCCTTCCATACATTATCTCTCATCTGAAGTATCATACTATCCCGCGGTAATCCGCGGAACCTTTCGCAGAGTCTACTACTCACCAGAGGCCAGTCTGTCATATCGATTCCTGATCGGTATACATGATCCCACTGCTTGACAGCTCGTCCTGTTAAATATTTCCTCACCAGTAATCCGCATTGATCCTCTGCAATCTTCATTTCTCGAAATTCCTGCTCCGCCAGACTTATCGGCCCCGTCTTCTGTCGCTGCCATTTTCGTTCGGAATATTTGATCAGCCACTGATTCACTCTGATT